CTTCAAAACTTATGTCAGTATAACATAACATATACACATAAGGGCTTTGAACACCCTTGTCATCAGAAGCATTCAAGTCTATGGAAGGCAGACAGACATGATCATACAATAATAATGGTTTTTTTAATATAAATGTTAGGTTGTGCCTGCCCTTAACTAATTAAGCACTACACCATGCAGGTGTATGGGTGAGTGCATGCATAGACCCGTTTTCTTGACCTTGGCACTAGTTGGAGGTGTTTGGTCAGCTTCATGACCTGGTTTCTACCCCTGGGGGAAAAAGTCCCCAGTACCATTGGAAAGGAAACTGGGTGGGCCCAGAACCAGTCCTAATTATGTGGAGAAGAGAAAATCCTTGATCCTACCAGGACTCAAAACTCTGAGCCCTGACATCCAGCCTGTAGCCAGTCACTATACGAAGTGCATTATCCTGGCTCTCATGGTTTCAATAAGGGTATTTAATTTAGCTAACAAAAATACAGTAAAATCTCCCCACATACTCAAAATTAAGAGATCCATTTGGACACCTTTATGCGGAAGATCTTTACAAGGTTCTGCCTTTATATTTCATCTTAGCTAGCACCTACTGCCTGCCACACGGAGGTTTTGGAGAAATGTGAGTATTCTTCCACCATTTAAAGGAAGATGAAGACAGTATGTTCCTCCAAAATTATGGCACCCATCTACCAGACTACACAGTCAACCTTCAGTGCCATGAAAACTTGAAAGCTGAAGTTTTTTTTGACAATACCTGTGATTTCTAGCCCGGACAGCATAGTCAGTATAGCGACTGGCTACATGCTGGACAAGTGAAAAATCAGAGTTCGAGTCGTGATAGGGTAAAGAATTTTCTCTTCTCTACGTTGTCCAGACCGGCTCTGGTGTCCACCCAACTTCCTATCCAATGGGTACTGGGTGCTCTTCCCCCAGGGGTAAAGTGGCTGGGGCGTGAAGCTGACCATTCACCTCAAGCTAGTGCTGAGGTCAAGAAAATGTGGAACTATACATCCACTTACATACGACTTCATGGTGTAGTGTTTAATTAGTTAAGCACAGGGACAAGTTTACCTTTCTTACTTGTGATTTCACTGAAAAGCAATATATACATAAAATACATGGCACTTCACTGTAACATAATCAAAATCAATACCAGATCAGCTTCCATTGAGTCAACCCATTACCCTCAGCTCTGGCCTAAACAAATAATATTTAGGTGACACAGTAGTATATATATATTACAGTAGAAGTGAGTAAAATATAATTGCTGTTTATTATTCACAATTACCATAACACATACAAATTAAAATGGTATCATATGAACATATCTGTTTTCTGTTGCCTTTGACAGCGCTTGCAAATTGCAACTGATGTGTACCAAGTTCCCATTTACAACAGGCTTCACTGCAAATAGACCTGAAGCTGTAGAGCAGACTGAAGAAGCACCTTCAGCCCAGGCATGAAACTAGCAATCTGTGAGAAGTCTGAACCAGAAACCAGCTGTGTGTGAAGGCTTAGACCTCCTGTATAGTCTCCAATTTGCACCATCTGTACTATCTGATGTAAGCCTTGCAATGTTGTCGGTGAAAGCTGGAACATACATTGAAACTATCAATCAACCCACTGTTGGTAATCTAACTAGTTGGTCCAGAGGCAAGATTCTTTGGTCTGTATTCGGAATGTGCTCAATTCGAATCTCAGCTGGGATTCCAGCTATCCTGACTGAAGGTTTTCAATGTTTTACTCAGCCTTCGACGCAAATACTGAGACATTACGTCTAAGACATAACTGCTTCTTTCTAAATGCTCTGCAATTCATCAGGCATCCTACTATCCAGCATTATAAGCTCATATAATCCCCATACTGACAATATAAGCAAATAACGCACAGAATAACTGAAGATGTGGTCTGTGTTGACCTATCTGGCTTATGCCCAATTATGCAAGGCCACAGAATCTAATATGTTTCCATTCTCAGATGAAAAAATGGCTTACACAATTTCGGATTATACTGTCATGTCACTGAGATCAGCTCTTTCTAATGGAACCAAATGAGTATGTGCCTCCCCATGTTTCCACTGAGGATGTAAACAGATTCAGCTTCCAAAAAGTTGCGTTCTGTTCAAAACACCAGATGATCACCAAGGTCCAAAAACATAGCAATACAAACAGAAGTTTACTGAAATGATTGATAAAAATAATGAAAACCTCAGAACAGCTGGTGCCCCACCTCAGATTCAAACTGGGCACTTCCCAAACATAAGTTTGATGATTACTGGTGTGTCAGGCAGTAGACAGTCAAAGATAAATTCTGCGCTCACAGACATTACCAATGGCCATTATCCCATTACTAATGTACCCATACTCTCCACTCTTCTGATGTATAGTGGATACATCCGTGCATTGTCACCCTGACTAAGCAACACCACATAGTACAAGCGTGTGAGAATGTTTGTACCTTGGATTCCCTTAGGGCATCATACAGGCTCTCCAACTTCCGAGACACATCCTCTAATTTTCGTTTTAGTTGCTGAAACAGAAGAACACTCATTAGCAAGCATCAATTTCAACAGTTTTTCCATGGGTTGTATACGGTACCCACATCAACAACCAATACCATAAGACCTTCTAAAAACCTTTAAAGTACAAAAGAGAAGAGGCCTGCAATCTAGCTGCAGTTGTCAGTAAAACTGCTACAAGGCATGGATACTGGGTCCAACACAGTGTCCCCTCATCTACTGCCAGTCAGAAAGTGTGAGTATTTTTTTTATTGCTAGTGGGGTGGGACTAAGTCCCTTGTACTGCAGCCACTTCTGGCCTATTCTACCAGCCCCAGATGATAGGTGAGGGTGATTGTGGAGCAATTGGTGGAATGAAGATTGGCAGGGGAAACCGAAGTACTCGGAGAAAACCTGCCCCAACACCACTTTGTCCACCACAAATCCCACTTGACCAGACCCAGGATCGAACCCGGGCCGCCGCGATGGGAAGCCAGCGACTAACCGCTTGAGCTATGGCACAGCCCGTGAGTAATGTTACTTATTTATGTCATTCTCATGTTTTCTTTCATCACAATACATATGCTAACAGGATTAAACGCAAAAATCTGTCTTCTTTCCATTTAGTCTCTTTATTTATTTGTTTACATCTTTTCTCTCTCCCCCTTTCTCCAACATTCATTTCTTTTTTATGTCCTCATAATCCTCCTTGTGTTCTTGGCCACTGTATGTCCTACCTGGTAAAGGCAGTTGTCTCTGGCCCACCATTCAGTTTCATTATCAGTGCACAAGATATTAATATCAACTACAGGCAACTGACGATATACTATTTTGGGCACAAGACCTAGTGGTCACTGCTACACGTCTACCAAACTACACGGTGTTATATCCCAGAAGATAATACTGTCATGTATATGGAGTGTTACTATTGATGGGTTTTGGATTGATGACTACACTTACTGGATTCTTTGATTCAGTGCATGAATACACTTTACAGTTCACTATTACACATACACTAGTGTCCAGTCACATGTTCACTGCTGTTGCTCGGTAGCGGCTTTCAATGGCAGATGAACCCCTCACTCTGGGTTCCCGAACTGGCCCCAGCCTCAGCTACCAGCTTCTATAACAGCTCACAGGGTCTGAACCCCAGCAGTTCTCTGACTGGCTGCTCTGCTAACTGGTCCTGCTTACAGTATCTTGGTACAGAAAGTGTAGACAACACTGCCTCCCACAGTTACTCCATTGTTGCGTTTGTGTCTGTTGGAATGATAACATGATAGCTACTAAGCCACTGCCTAGCAACGGCCGTTGTTTGCAGAGCCATTCCCTAGCAACGACTCCCTCTGCTGGCTTCATAATTTTACCTTGAGTAAATATGTTGCATTATCTTTATACTCACTGCAGTAAAAACTCAAATCTCATGAAGTTCAGATGTCATGTACATTAACAATCTAGCTACTTAACCAACCAACCAAACTACTCCATGGAGCATATCCCTTTTGAGAAGCTAAAACCTGCTCAGCTACTCAAGATATTCACAGCGTTTTATGGAATCTGAAGATTCACTTTTGCATTCACAACAGCTAGTCAGTGGTTCCTATCCTGTGCCTGATTAATCAGATCCACAGCCTATCCTATACACTTAATATCAAATTATTATCCTACCCTCTACAGCTAGATTGTCTCAGTTGTCTCTTGCCTTCAGGACTTCATACAAAATCTTTTTAAGCCTCTCTTCTCTCCCATGCATGAATGTATTTACGCACTAATAAAACTGTTAAACTCAGACTGGACTTACAGGATTGCTTGCAGCGCATGTACATCTGTTCCGCAGCTCCTCGAATACTGTCTGCAGATACATGTGCTCCTCAGGGATAGGACCTTTTGGTTTAGGGGGCTCAGCCACCTTAGCAGGGGCTACAGGGGAACTATACTGCTGCTGCTGTTGTTGCTGTGGGTACAACTGCTGGGGTTGATACGGAGCCCCAACCAGTGGGTCAACATACCCGCCATTCACAGCCATCTGGAAATATCACGCTGCCGTTTATCAGTATCCAGCCAAAGTTTGGTAGGGACAGCAATAAAGTCATTTCATAAACACTCTGTTTAACCCAGCAACATCTATCTACAAACAAAACAAAGAACCAAGGTATATACAAAAATTAAAGCAAACTGATAACACAGATGAGGAGTTTGTTTAGCTTGTTTAAGTTTTTAACTTCTCAGTTTGAGGTGGAACTAGGCTGTGCCATAGTTCACGTGGTTAGTCGCTGGCTTCCCACCATGGTGGCCCTAGTTCGATCCTGGGTCTGGTCAAGTGGGATGTGCGGTGAACAAAGTGGAGCTGGGGCGGGTTTTCTCCGAGGGCTTCGGTTTCCCTGCCAATCTTCATTCCACCAAATTCTCCGTCATCATATTCACCCGGGGCAGGCTATAATAGGCCTATCAGTGGCCGTTGTGCTGAGTGGACCCAGTTTGACTCCACACCCCATTAAGCGAATTTTAATTGAGGTGGAACTGGCAGCCTCTATATTAAGTTAAGGTGTTATCAAGAGCTGATTACTGCACTGTCTTGCATTTAAAAATTCAAAGCTATTACTACGAAATATGAGAACAACCTCATATCTTGAGTCATGACCACTTCTTTCAATCTGGATGCTAGACCAAAAAATCTTCTAGTACCATTCAGTTTTGAGTCAGTTATATGATTTTCTTATATGACATGAGAGAACAATGGGGTCCAAGACCTCCTGTTTTCCCACATTCCAAAATATTATTTAAAGACATTTGGTACAATCCATGCAATCAGTCCATCACAAGACTTCTACCTACACAGGACAACATAAACACAGAAAAAAATGCATTTATAAGGTGATCTTCTCAGTGGAATTCAAGCCCATGATCTTGGTGTTTAAATCGAATAAGGCAGGACATGCCTTCGCCTGCCAACCACTGGGATCACCTTAAAACTTCAAGTATATTTAAGTAAGTTTTATACCTACATTTGGCATCATGGGAGGAGCAGGCTCCTGAGGTGCAGCGCCATACAGTGGGTGTGTGATGGGAGTCTGAGGCATATAGTCTGCTTTAGGCTGCAACAAAGACAACTGTCAGCCAACTCCTTCATTAACAAACATCTTTAAACATCATGATTATGTTGGATTTGAAGTTTTTGGGTGGTGATTGTGTACAGCACAGTCTTCTGAGTTGTAATACATTCCAAACTACGAGGGATAAATAAGGTTCCCTAACCTATAATTTTTTTGTTAACTAAGCATCTTATTTTTCAGGCCATCCACCCTAGTCCTGACCCTGCCCCACTGGACTTCCATTTGTCTGTGCCTCTGAAGCAACACTGGGAGGTCCTCAATTCCACACTGATGAAGAAGTGGAAACAGCTGTTGATGAATAGTCATGAATGCAAGACCTGATTTCTACTGGTGTCAAACTTGTACCAAGATAAGACAAACGTATCAACGTGCTTGTGGGTTATGTTGAAAAATAATGATACTTCAGTGGAATATATGAGCTACATGTAATGTTGTATCAACTACTCATTTCATTTGTAAGATCTAGGGAACCTTACTTATTGAACAATCTTTGTATGTGGTGTTAGAACCCAAGAGACCATATTCTAAATCAAGATCACAGTCTTCTGGGATCTGATGCTGTGTGGTCTGGAAGGTGGGTGGCGACAGCAGGTTCCTACAGAGCACCTCCTATCAGACTAAACAGCATCACATTCCATTCACTTCATGCACTCCATGCAAAGAAAGCACAATAACATAGGCAGTAACAAGACTGCACCAATTAACACACAACATGAATGGAAACGTAATTTGCAAAGTCACTGTCATGATATGCATACGGAAGCAATACAGGGTACAAGACAGAGGCAAGTGGTTTGTGTCACGCTCTTGCCACTTTAACCCCAGGTAAAAAGAACCCCAGCACTCATTAGATACGTAGGTACATAGTGAAAACACGTAAAATCACAGTCATGGATCAAACCCTGATTCCCTGGTTATTCATCCTGTAGCCTAGTCACTATACTGACTTAGGTACCAAGCTCATATGATATACGAACTTCTCCCAAAGAAACTACGTGCTGCATGCAGCATGCTTGCAGTACCTTGTTAAACATTAAGTTTCTCCACATTCTGGTGCCTGCATGTTCAGCAGACATTTTTACAACTGGCTCAGCGTGAACAGCCTATGTTACACAGAAATGGGCAATATCAGAAAGCCTGATGTACTTACAAGCAAGAAGTCGTAATAAGCAAGCTTGGGGGAGAAGAGAAAAGTAGCATTAGACAGAGAATACAGACACACTCCAAAATTTCCCCAGGGGATGATGTAACTGAAATAGTTACTGCCCGTAGAACTCGAACATTCAAAACCGCCAACACCACTGCCTATAATTACACACAATCCTCAGACAGTTCTATCCACTTCCTATCCTCAGAACCTGTGACTAATTAATTAATTCTCTGGTAACAGAGTCAGAAACTTCAACACTGCTTATAACAAAACTCACAGCAAGACATAATCCTGAGCCAGTTCCATCCATCTCCCATCCTCACAAACCACCTTACAGGCTCCCAGATTTCCTGACAAAAATTTTGTATACATTCCTTGGCTCAGCCATCCTCAGTCATCATAGTCTCCTGAATTTCATTACCCTAGCGATATTAGGACAAAGTTGTCCCTGTGCTTAATTAGTTAAGCACTATGTCATGAAGACATATGGTAGAGTGGAGGGATAGCTATCAACCTTAGCTCTAGATGGAGGTGGGTAGTAAGCTTCACGCACCATCCACTTTACCAATGGGGAAGAAGCCCCTGGTACCAATTGGATAGGAGGCTGGGTGAGCCACAGAGTCAGTCGGGATGCTGTGGAGAAGAGAAAAATCTGGCACTGCTGAATATTGAACCCAGGCCATCCAGCCCATAGCCCATCATTATACTGATGGACCTATCCTGACTCTGCGCAATATTAGGGTGAGCTGTACAAATAATGATGTTCCACATTATACAATATCCTATAACGGCTCAATGAATTCATCCTTCTTAGGTCAAAACAGGGTCCTGAACACTCTGCATTTAAAACAGTTGTAATTTATGTTATTCCTTCAAAGAGAACACTGTTCTTACTCACACACAACAAAATTACCATACTTCCAATCTTTGGGAATGTGGACAGCATAACTAATCTCAACCAAATTCTCGTCCACAGTGTGTATTAGTAAGGTCACTTCTTGCCAGTGATCATCTACAATTACTACATTTTTCTTAATTTACTAGCGGATGCATTTCGGCTTCTTAGCCATCTTAAATATAGAAATTTCGAAATTTGAGGTGCTCACACAGTGGTGTCTTCTGGGATGTGATACCATGTAGTCTGGTAAATCACCACGAATGTATCCACTGTTCTACCCTGAAAACGGATGCACCAGGGTGCTCCAAAATGTTGCTGATTATCTATCAGATTACACAGTGTCAAGCCCCAAAATACCAATCAATCTAGATTATTCTTCATCTATACAAGCAAAGAACTGGAGAACTAGGTGTATTAAGAGATTGTCTCCTGGGACGTAATGCCATGCACTGTGGTAAACTGTCATCATTGCAACAATTCTTCCTCCCTGAAGATGGCTCTGAAACACTGGTAATGTTCTACCAGACTACACGGGGTCTTATCCCAGAAGGCAGTAATCATTATAGCTCACAGCTCGGAGAACCTCAACCTCCCTCTCTATTTATCTATTTTCCAAAAATAAAGATATATCATAAAAATATGCATTATGTTTATGTACCTGTGTGCGAGAAGAATTTTTCAGAACTGGTGGGTCATTCCAGGCAGGTGGAGCATTAGCAGGAGGAACGCTTGGGGGCACACCACCAGGTTGTGCATTTACACTATCTGCAGGATTATAAACGTCTGCAGATGGATACCTTGTGTTGGCAGGCTGGTTGGGATACGGTGGTAATGCTGGATTGTTTGGTACAGGTGCTGTATTGAAGCCAGGGGGGTACATGCCCCCTACACCACCATAGTGGGGTCCAGTCTGTACAGATGGGTCAAGCACATATGGCTTGCGAGATGCGGCGTTGGTTCCACCTGCGAACATTTCATCTACATACATGAACATGGCACATAACACGGACACCACTGAAGGTGCTGTTTCATGATGGAATTTTGCTAACACACTACAGATGACAAAATGAACACAGCAAGCCTTACAAACTAGTCAAGTTAAATTGATTTCTGTAGGAAACAAAGGCTACTACGATCACAAACAACACTACAGTGATCCCTACATCGTTATGATAGATTCAGAATACACAGATGTGAGAACGGCTTTTTCAGTTCGAGATATGATCACGATACGAAAAATTTTGTAAATTAAGATGAGAATGAGAATTTTCTCTACTAGATCAATCCTTTCACTGTACTCAACAATTTATCACTAGCACATTATAATAATGCACTAAAGTGTCGAGAAAATTCTTACAGTGTGAGACATCATATTCACATAGGTTATTGTGTAAGAATTTTCACACGCAAGTTAGGAGATGGATGCTTAGTGTAAAATTCTGGAATTTTCTCTTTTTTGGCTTAATTATTACTAAACTGGAGAAGACGCCTGGAAAAAATGTATTTGGCATAATATGTTTCAGTATTTCTCTAATATTTTCATTCTCAAAAATATTTAACAAGTTATGGTTGAGATGTGCACAGGAACTCATTTAGTCTTCATGAAGTGTCAGTAATTGATGTTTAATTTTAACCAAATTTGGCATATGTTGAGAAATTGTAGTAATACTTCCCAATATCAAATTCAATGAAAAAGTGTTCCATGTTTCTCAATTTGTTACATGTGGACAGATGGACAGAGACACAGAAAAACTAACTAGCATATTCTTGCAATACACCAAAAAGGCACTACAAATACACAAACTGGGTATAATGTATAACAGGAATGCAGCCATGCTCAGCTTGCCACCTGCTGGTTTCATGCTTGGTTAATTCTCCAGCTCTGAAGATGGAGCCAATATGCTCCTCCAAAACATCTGTAAACTGCTGAACTACATGGAATTACAACTACTCTTTAATTATAAAAACCTTTCTGATATTCTAAAATGAACAGAATACAAGCATTATGACTTCTATTTTCCTACTGTCGCTTGGTGTCAACTAGTTTTTTAGTCTCATGTGCAACAGTCGGTGCTTTAAAATTTATTAAGAGCTATTCACTTTAAAAGTCCATCACTTTTAAATTACGCAACTTTTAATAAATTTTACAGAACACAATGCTGCACATGAGACTGTAAAAAAACTAATCTACACCAACTAAAAAGTGCAACAGGATGCTACAATACAGAATTGCTACTGTCAACACAACTACACTCTAACACAACACAGAGCCTATGGGGTTCCAAACAATATAGTGGTCAAGTTGCATCATAAAACTGCACGAACACAACACTACTCAACAGTTAGGAGAGCAAATAATTATGTGGAACGGCTATAAAATAACTAAACTGTGGCCTTGGCAACAGGGAGTGGGGTGGCATATTATCCTGATCTCTCCTCTCCATCAACCCTACGACTTCCAAGGCCATATGGCCAACATTGTGGTAGTAGTCTTTGTTTGAAGCGAACTGTGTATCTGAGCAACGTGTCCATGTGAAATTCCTCGCAAAACTTGGAAAATCTGCTACAGAAACATACAGTTTGTTGATGGAAGTTTATAGTGATGAATGTCTATCTCATACTCAAGTTTTCAGTGGTTCAAAAGATTTAAAGAGGAAAGGGGAGAGACTGAAGATGATCCACGCCCTGATTGGCCTTGCACATCAAAAACAGATGCTAACATTGAAAAAGTCGGTGAAATTGTTCAAAAGGATCATTGCCTGAGCATTTGCTAACACTGATAAAGAGAGTGTTCAACAGATTTTACATGAACATTTTAACGTGAAAAAGCGTGCCTGAAGATGGTGCCAACAATCCTCACTCCTGAGCAAAAGGAAAGTGGAATGAACATTTGGGCTAACATCCTTCAAAACATTGAAAATGATCCAGACTTTTTAGGAAATGTAATAACTTGTGATAAATCATAGATTTTTCCGTATGACCCGGAAACTAAGTGACAATCCATACATTCCCAGGTCACCAAGAAAAAAAAGAAAAAAAAACATGGAAGAGTAAGTCAAATTTCAAAGCAATGATCTTTTTTTTTTATATCTGAGGGATTGTTCACATTGATTGGGTGCCTTAAGGTCAGACCGTTAACCAGGTCTACTATAAGGAGGTTCTGACAATCCTTCATGAGCAGGTGAGAAGAATAAGACCTGATATGTGGAAGAAGGGCCCATGGATTCTTCACCATGACAACACGTCAGCACACAATGCACTATCTGTCAAGATGTTTCTGGCAAAGCACAAGATCCCCACGTTGGAACGTCCACCTTACACACCTGACCTAGCCTCATGTAATTTTTTTTACTTCCAAAGATCAAGTCTGCATTAAAAGGAACCCGATTCAAGTCCGTAGATGCAGTGAAGGCAAAGGCAATGGTGGTAATGAAGAAGCTATCAGAAAAGAATCTGCAGCATTGCTTCAAATAGTGGAAAATTTGCATGGAGCTGTCTGGGGGTCAGTGAGGGGAGCACTTTGAAGATGATAATTATGCCATTGTGTGATTAGTTGAATAACAGATTTTAGAGCATCAGTCTGGTTATTTTACAGCCACTCCATGTAATGCCTCTACAACAACTGAATGCAGCTTTATCTGTGTTCTTGCACTTCAGACTTTTAACCCCTTAAAGCCCAGTGGTCTGATATGTACCACCTGCTTCAACATAAGAAAACTGCACAGTGCCCACAGAGTGTATATGTTTTTTATTTTTCTCAGAATAAACAGTGACTGCTTCTTTAAACATCATTAACCAGCTGGACTCTGTAGTGGACATGTAAAGTGTTTCCTGTGAGGTATGAACTGAATTTGCATATATTATTTACAAGAAGTTTCATCTTTAAAGGGTTAAACAATACTACAGAGAGGTTCCAACAAAAGAGATGCAGAAACACAGGTTCCTTGACCTAACAGCAGAAGTACGACAACACTACTCAGCAGCCTTGGGATGAACGCTACTTACACCACCTTGAAATGTTTGCAGCTTTATCACTATTCTGGGCTGATTCCCAGGCCTTCTGATAAATATTTGGTTCCAATGGAGAGTAGGCCCTACCATATGTTCTGGTACAACCTAAAGTAACAATACCAAAACTATTTATACAGTTACTTCTACGTAATTTTTTAGGTCTTTGCAAAGGTGAAAGTTCACATTGCTGTCTTCTGGGCTATAATACCAAGTACTGTGACAGGTATTTACAAACATACTGTCTTCATCTTCAGGGCAGAATTTCCACCCTGAAGATGGAAGCAGTATGTTCTTCTGAAATGTTGGTAACTACCTACATGATAACATAGTGTCATAACCCAGAAGACCCCCAAAAGCAGTGCTGATTACCGCCTTTTTGGATATGACGCTGTGTAGTGTGAAAGATATTCACCAACATGTTGGCGGAACATATTGCTTCTACACTCAAGATAAAGACCTTGAATGATGTCTCAAAATGTTGCTAATGACTGCCTGGCATCATAAAACAAAAGATGTGAAACAGAAACTGTACTGTATAACATTCTAGGAAATTCTAGCGAACTGGTGTAAGAATATATTTTTTCAAACGTTTATCTTTACTTCCAACATATTGTAACGTGTTTACGTTACTGAAGACGCCATAGAGATGGTTANCAACATTTATCTTTACTTCCAACATATGTACATTAACAGGTGAATACCATAATTGGTTCAGTGACTGGGCTATGGGCTCCATAACCGGGTAACTCCTTATGTGGGGGTAAAGCAGCCAAGGCACACAGCTGACCACTTCTCTCCATCCACTGCCAAAGTTAACAACAGTGCAGCTACACCTTCACTTGGTGAGTTACTTAACGCTTTCAGTATAAAGACTATATTGCATCAAATTGGGGGGACGAGTGATGACTGAT